ATTGTATTACATTTATATAACCGTAGAAAAGAACAAAATGAAAGGAAATGTGACGTATACTGCAGCAATAACAATCTCTTTCAGGCATGAACTAGTTTTATTTTTCCTGTCGGTGGTGAATCAATCTTCAAACATAATTAATTTAGTTCTTTTGTGACTTTGTTTTACATAAGAATAAATCAAGTAAAGGTCCACACAGCCCGTAAGGGATATCCTCTGATTAGATTCGGCTTCTGGGCGAGTTTTAGATGTAAATATGTGTTTTATTCTCTTTTATAAAAGTCTATTATTTTAAAAAAAAAAGTAAGAAAAAGGTCTACACAGCCCCATAAAATACTACTCTCTCATATTTTTTATAAGTGTCGTTTTAAGAAATTGTACAGTAATTAAGAAATTTTTTTTGCCAATAATAATTCTCATTAATGAGGAAGATAGAGATAGATGTTTTGAGAAAAGATGAATATTTTTCATAAGTGTCGTTTTGAGAAATTGTACAGTAATTAAGAAATTTCTTTTGCCAATAATAATTCTCATTAATGAGGAAGATAGAGATAGATGTTTTGAGAAAAGATGAAGAGTGAATATAAAAAGGCGTAGTGTATTTATTAGCTAGATGAGGGCAATATGAAAAAATATGTACAAAAGATCCAAAACGTCATTTATTTGGTTAATTGTTGATAAAACCAAAATGACATTTAAAAAAAATAAGAGGTAGTATTAATAATTGAAGCTTGATGTGTAAGTTATTTTTATATCGTCTCTACAATTTGTCTCGAGCCCTTGCATGTTGCATTGAGTCCAACTTGATTTTGAATTTAAAAAAAAAAGTTATTATATAAAGCTTCTTTTTTTTTTATTTTTTTTTTTATTTTTTTATTTTTTCGAAACGATAAATTTTTTTAAAAATCACATACTTACAATCGACTTACTAGCCGAAACAAGGAGGCCTACTAAAAGTAGCCTAATGCCACACCACAACAGAACAAGCACACAATAATAACTCCCCAACGGAAGTATGCCCACTCTCCAACGGGTGAAAAGATAGCCTAACACGGAAAAAAATCGCATAGCGCACACTTACAACACAACACAAACAAAAGAAACAAATACAAAATAACTAAACTAAAGTCCTTCCCATAGTAGCTAAGCACACCAACAACAACGACGCCGACCCACACGAGTGACCACCCACAATTATAGAGACCCGATCCAAGCTGCAAAACTAGAAACTGCAGATAAATCGTTCAACCAGAACTGAGACTAAAAGACCTTGCCTATCGCCCGGGTAGACGACCCGCAACCGGAGATCCAAAAAGTACTCCACCTCCCAAAACCCGACGACCCGAGAACAAGGTACAAACCCAACCCCGACACGCCTCAGCCCACGCAACCCAGAGGCCCCAAAGGCAGAGAAGAACGGGAAGAAGGAGAGTGGAACCGACCCCGATCTCAACCCCTACCATCGTCAAGGGGATGGTTGGAGCCACAACCCTCTCTCACACACTCGCCGGACGTCCGCCACCGCCCAGATCCTGGGGAATCGTTAGACCACGACCCACTTGGCGACCTAAAAAAAAGGCAAAAACGAAGGGGAAAACCCACCATCTCACCCAAAGCAAAGGACGTCGCCAAATTCAACGAGCCTCTGAGAGCCAGTCGCACGGCTCGGAAAAGGTCGCCGCTGAGGTGGCTCGGAGGCCTGCTGGGGAAAGGCGCACTGCGGCTGATTTAGGTTTTTAAAAAGTGAAAGGGAAAAGTCAAGGGGAGGGATCAAATTGCTTTCCGAAAAGAGAAAGGGGAAAGTTAGTCAAGTGAGGTTATAATTGCCTTATTGTGTCTCGTCGAGAGAAAGAAGTTGATTAGGCCAAAATGAATGTTATACAAACCCTATGCTTGTTATTGTGAATAGCATTACTAGTTTTCTTTTTTCATATTGAATGTTTATAAGAGGTTTATTAAGGATTTTTAAAAAATATAGTAAGTTTTTATGCCCCTTGCTTGTCAAGATGTAAATTTTTTGAGTTTGGCGACAGATCTTTAAATCCTCTTGGAAAAAAAAAATAGTGACTGCACCCATTGTTTTGTCTTTTGATTGGTCTTGACACTTTGATATGATATGTGATGTGCCGAATGTTTTTGTGGGAGCCGTTTTGAATCTAAAAGTTGATAAATTACTCCGTGTGATCTATTATACTAGTTTAACTCTGAATGGTTCCTACTTAAATTCTAACTTTGTATTCTAGGGTCTAATATCACTATTCATTTTGATCATGGATTTGAGGTATTTACTGAACAACTCCCAATCTAAACCTAGACTTAGTTGATGAGTTTTGTTGTTCCAAGAGTTTAAGGGAAATATTTGGAATAATAGAGGTTGTGAGATATAGTTAAAGGCCATCTTTCCCATATAATCTCATCTAATGCTCCTTTACCTTTACATGAGCATTACACAATTAATGATGATTTTTCAAATGATTGTATGTTTGAAAGAATTGTTACTCCATTATATGAGAATATAGTGAATTATGTAGCTTCTAGAGTTGTTCGAACTAACCTCTCTTTCCAAGAATGAAACATTTTGTATTGATGTGCAAGAGTTATTATTGGGATGAGTCAGTACTTATTAAAGATATGAAACGGTGAGGTACGTACTCAATCGGTGTGTGCCCGAGGAGAAGCAATTAGTCTTATTGGCCTTTTGTCATAAGTGTCATTGTGTAGTCGTAAGGCCATCTTCAAAGTCCTTTAATCATGTTTGTTTTGACGACTTTGTTTAAAGATGCCCCTAATTTTGTCATTACGTATGACTGATGGCATAAAAATTTGGAATATGTGTCGTAACTCTTATGAATAGTTTTCCAGCTGGAATATTTAGTGTTTGAGGTTGATTTCATGGGACCATTCCCATAATCCTTTGATTTTAGTAGATTTACATGCATTTAATTACATCCAAGGACTATACCCACAAGGACGTGTATTGCTAATGTTGTGGTGAAGTCTGTGCATGGTCATATTGTAATATCCTTATCAGTGACTAATAAAGTGCCAGTTTAAGTTACAATATTGAACTAATTTCGAAGCCAAGTATTCAGTTATAAGGTCGAAATTAAGATTTGTTCAAGGAACAAGCCACACGAGTCGTATGGGATGAGCTACACGAGTTGTGTGAAGCCACACGCGTCGTGTGACAAGGCACACGAGTCGTGTCAGGAGAAGAAAAGGAAAGTTAGTTTCGGCTTTTTCACACGAGTTGTGTGACAAGGCACACGAGTCGTGTGACATGCCACACGAGTCGTGAGACCGACATAAAGGTCTGATTATTGAGAATTCGATTGTGATCTCAACTAGAGTCTATTTTCAGGCATTATTTATGAAATTGTGAAGTATACAAGTTAGTCATAACCTAGTGTATGTTTATTTATGTTTATAAGTTTTATTTGTTTATTTTGTTCATTTCTTCACTCCATCTTCATGTCTTCAAATTGTGCCTATAAATAGAGGCTTAAAATTAAGAGTTTTTACACCAAAGAAAATTTTCAAAAGTAATATAAGTTCATAAGAGAGAGTAAGTAGTAGAAATTTTGGTGAAGTGAATAATTTGGAAGTGAAGAATCAAGTTTCGATTTCTAGCAAGAAGGAGGTAATTTATTTATCTTAAGCTTAATATTAATTACATGCTTTGAAAACGAGTTTAGATGATTATGAGCATATAAATATCAATGATTTAGAAGTTGAGTTTATAATTGATTCTATGAATACAAGGAGTTAAAGTTGTTTCAAGATCAATTATATGATATATGTGCTTGATTTGAATGAGATTTTCATAAGGATAAGAATAAGCTGGAAAAGTATGATTTACATGAGTAATTCTTGTGTAAAAGAGGAGTACATAAGAACAAGAATTAAGTTATTTGACATAGTATAGCTTGAGATATAGATTTTTGAAGTTGAACATGCAAGATGAATTTTATGTTCATTGTTTAAGTTGTGAGTTTAAATTCTAATAACTTGATGTATATGCATGTTAAAATTATGAAATTTTTATGACATGTCTAAATATGAGTTAAGAATATGACTGTTAAATTTCATGATTTAAAGTTGAGAAATGAATGAGTTATGATATTAATATGGCATACGTAAAGATGAGTTATATGCAAGAATATTCATTATATGTTCAAGTTTTTAAAGTGAGATTATTATGAAATATTCTTATATAAGTGATGAGCAATTTGGCAAAGTTTTTAGTTTGATATGTTGAGTATAAAATTTTATAAAGATTATTTTAAGTCTCGCATATTAATATCATAATTGAGTGTTATGATTAAAAGTTGAGTATGTTTGAGTTATTGTGAAATTTAGTTTATTTTCACTTTCAAGTTGTTTAAGTGACAAGTGAGTATAAGCCAATATATAAGATTTGGAAAATTATGATTTATATGGATTGAGTATTTGATTGAGTACAAGTTCAAGAAAAGTTAAGTTTAGTACTCATTTGAGCAATAGTATGCCTATTGAATCTATTATGATTAGGATATGTTATCCGTTAAAGTTGAGCATCCCAGTATCTTATTGAGTATACGAGCATAGTACTTAGCACATTTGTTTATATTTTTATGTAGCTTGAGGAGTTAGCTACTCGAGAACAACACTTAATCTTTTCAAAAGAAGAAAGGTGGGGACCCAGCCTGGGTATTACATTGAGTATAATATTGATATCATGTCCGAGGTATGTATACAGTTTAAGTTTATACGCTTGGAATGAAAAGACTATCAGTTACCTTACAAGTATATCCTAAGTTCTGATGGAGGCCCTCAGTTGCCTTAAGAAATATCCATCAGATTGTGCACAAGTATCAGATCAGATATCGGCCAGATTCAGTTTAAGTTACTGGAACAGATTTCCAATCCAGATATATACCAACGATCATGATATTGTATTATTATTGTTGTTTACTTTAGTATGGGTGATTTCGGGGTACAGGAGGA